CATTTTTTCTTGAAAATTCCTCACCTGAACAAATTTTAGGATGAATATATTGAATGTTTCTGTATTGAGTTTTCCCAGCTAGTGTTTCATTGAAAATATCATTATCTACCGGTACGCTTTCTTTCTAAAGTAAACATGAAGTAGGCCTGATGCTTGACAAGTACTACGGACTCGCTCGTCAAAGTGCGTCTCAAAAAGTAATATTTTTATTGCCAAAACAACTGAAAATTGAATTTACCAGCTCTTCGCCATTTTGGTTTTCTCCAAATCTGGCTAATCGTGCCATTTTGTGCTTAATCGCACCATATCGTGCTTAATAGTGCCTTTATTGTGCCTTATCGTGCTCAATCGCACCATTTCGTGCCATTTCGTGCCTTATCGTGCTTAATGGCGCAATATCGTGCTTAATCGCACCATTTCGTGCCTTTTCGTGCTTAATCGCACCATTTCGTGCCTTTTCGTGCTTAATCGCGAGAGCTTAATCGCGAGAGTTTAATAGCGAGAGCTTCACTGAAATCTCGATGCATTAGGATTGAGACTTGTACTTCAATCTCTACGAAAGTACAAAAGACTCATGAGACAAATCCCTTGCAAATTACGCACAACCTGATTTTCTGACTAGAGGGTTGAATTATTTTAGTCAGGATCTTTTTGAATGTCAACCATTTCCATTGTTACTGAGTGATATACTTCACCTTTCTCTAGGTGACCATTGTCTTGCTGGAATGTTTCATTGTCAAAACAAGAAGTGTGTTCCCATGGTGTTTCGTTGTGATCAGGATGATGATTGTGGTGATGGATCTGATGAGTCTCTTTGTAAAACGCATTCCTGTTTGCCACATCACTTCAGGTATATGTGTTGGCGTTTTTTTATTTGTTGTTGTTTATTCGTTGATGTTGCTTGTATGTCGTTGCTGTTATGGTTGTTTGTTCCATTGCTGTTGCTGTTGTTGTTCCCGACCCTATCGTTGCTGTAGTTATTAATTGTTGGTGCTGTTGTCGTCGTTGCTGGTGTTGTTTCTTTTGTTGTTTTATTTGTTGTTGCTGTTGGTGATGGTGTCATTGTCGGTGTTCCTGTTTTTGTAGTTGTCGTTTCTGCTGTTGTTGTCGCCGTTGCTGATGTTGTTTCTTTTGTTATTTTATTTGTTTTTGCTGTCGTTGCTGTTGGCGTCTTTGCTGGTGTTGCTGTTTTTATAGTCGTCGTTGCTGCTGTTGCTGCTTTTATTGCCGTTGATGTTGTTATCGTTGCTTCTGTTGTTGTCGTTACCATTCTTGTTTAATTTTAGATTTTCGCTTTTCTTCTGTGTCAATACTAAACCACGTTATTATCAGGTGTAAGAACGGACATTGTATTGMTAAAGACTGGGTCTGTAATGGTCAAAACGAATGTGGTGACAATTCTGATGAGAAAGAMTGTGGTGYAATCTCATGTCGCGAGGGACAAATAAAATGCMGTAATGGAGATTGTATAGAAAAGGGTTGGAAATGTGATGGGGAACGAGACTGCCAAGACGCGTCCGACGAGAAAGGTGAGAAAATACACGAACYGMTATAARAATATTTGATAGAAAAATTAGAGAGAATAGTTATCATGTGATCTCAAAAAAGCAATTCTTCGGGGGCCAGCCCTTTGATAACGTAAAKTTATTCAAATTTCTCAAATTGCTGATTTTTATCMMAAAARTYACAATGGTTTCTCAGTACAAGCTTCGTAAAGACATGCATTTATTTATCTCTAGAGTACTGTTTTGTAATGTTTTAGGTTGTCCAAGCCGCTATCCACACGGTCGTGTATGTCCTCAGTCACAGTTCCAGTGTGTAAATAACGTATGTATCAGTAGAACATGGATGTGTGATGGTGAGGATGATTGTGGCGACTTCAGCGACGAGTACAAGAGACTTTGTGGTATGTGATTCARTCATGATTTATGTTTGTTTTTGTTTACATTTTTTTTCTCCGGGGTTAATTTTATTAGTTTTTTTTTTTTTTTTAATTTAGTTAGTTTAATTGTTTCGCTTCATTGCTGGAGAAAACTGCTGAACTAAAATACATTTTCCGCACAAATTAGAATGTATTTCGCTGAAACACGCCCTCCCTTCCTCAAAGCAATGTAGAATTGTCTTAAAGCTCATGCAACCCGTCACACATAACGCTCGAAATAGCCTGAGTGCTGCCTAACCAAAATCTGTGTTATGTTATGCGGCGAACCAGTGACGAAGGTCGTGTTTGTGTACTTGGGAAGTGTTCACGAAAAGTTTGCTTGGGATAATATAACGTATTTGTTTTGCCTGTTTGTTTCCTTGGGAGTTAATTTATTGTTGTTGATGTTTTTGTTTTGTSGGTTTTTGTTTCTTTTGTTTGTTTCTTTCTTGCTGTCTGATCTTGCTTTAGTGTTTTTATTGTTGTTCTTTTGTTTTCATTATACGTATTATTATTATAAGTGTGAATTTGATAAAGGATTACTCAACAAAAGTGTTATCCTATATTCTCCCATTCTATCACCGTAGAATACCACAAATGTTCACCAAAAACCCAGTTCAGGTGCCATGACTTCCACTGTATACCAAAATGGAAGGTGTGCGATGGAGTAAACGACTGTGGTAAAAACGAAGACGAGACCGATGACTTRTGTCACAAGCCCATTGTACCGAGATGCAGCAAAAATCAATTCAAATGTCAAAATCATAARTGCATCGATGGCGACATGGTTTGCAACCGACAGGATAATTGTGGAGACGCCTCAGACGAATTACTATGTCGTAAGTTAACTACCGTATTTACTCGAATAGACGCCGCGGAGTTTATTTCATTTTTCACGATCCAGCTGCGGCGTCTATTCGGGGGCGGCGTTTATTTAAAAAAACACTTTATTCAGTACTGCATACCTTACTGAAACCTCGAAAGACTTGGAAAGTGTCTTTATTGTATTGCATTATATCGTTGATTGTGAAGGTCTTTAATACACTGCAGAACTGTCAAAAACTAGTCACATAATTGTWATTGAATCTCCTTATTGTAGCTATCAACAAGAACCTGTCATGCGMAGTCAACAATGGTGGATGTTCCCAACAGTGTAGGCTTCTKGGAAGCAATGTTGTTTGCTCCTGTTGGTCTGGGTTCGAGTTTGATGCATCCAACAGGAAGTGTGTTGACGTCAACGAATGCCTGCTTAGCAACGTGTGTGAACAGCAGTGCATTAATACAGTTGGGAGCTATAAGTGTAGGTGTACTGATGGGTACTCTCCATCACCAGACAACAAACGCAGATGTAAACCGATGGGTAAGTCTCTTACTTTACGTAGCGTTGTTGNAACTTTGACGTTAAACCGACATTTGGTGTCTTTGCTCCCGTCAATCAAAACCAACTACTTTCGAATGAATTACTCAATGTTGGAAACTAGTTCTGTTCTCCATATACAAATGTTTTATAACGATAATAAATATTTCACATCAACAGAAGGTGCACGACATCGAGCTCGCCGTTCCACCTCACCGACCATACAAGATTTGTCTTTGCCGTTGGGCGTAGCTAATGGGATTGCCGTAGACTGGATTGGACGTAATATATTTTGGACAGACTCTATTCAACGTGTGATTAAAGTCGCTAGAACTGATGGACGTTATCGTCGCACAGTTGTATCTGCAGGACTGGCTGATCCTGGGGACATTATCGTGGACTCTAATCGAGGGTAATTATCATCTTAAATGTTTGTTAAAATTGTTTCCTTTTTTAGTCGGAGAGCGTTGAAAATAAAGATTCGTTCATAGGCGAACTTTGATTGGTCAAAGAGCATGAAAAATAAAGACTCATTTTTACGACAACTTTGATTAGTCGAAGAGCGTGAATATAATAAAAGATTTGTTCTTACGCGAACTCTAAGAGCGGAATAACTTAAGCGAGCAATGGTCCAACGATGACCTTGCTCTGTGGGGGTTCTGCATGAAGAATATGTAAGCTACAGTTCTTATATTTCTACTTTAGACTGCTGTTTTGGGCTGATCGAGGACCCGAACCCAAGATTGAATCATCGAATATGGATGGCACCAACCGGACGCCTCTCGTCACAACTAAACTAATATGGCCGTCAGGTCTTTGTCTTGATCAAACTACTCGACAATTGTACTGGTCAGATTATAAAGCAGGACGAGTAGAGAGAATAGGGCTAGACGGACATGGAAGAGCAATGGTTCTCAATGGCATCCAAAAACCATCTTCTATAAGTGTGTCGGGGTACTATTTGTACATTACAACAAACAATCAAATTGTACAAGTAGACAAGTTTGGATATAATAAAAGTGTCACTCTACTTGATGGTCTTCAAAGGGTTTCTAGTTTAAGGGTACAACAGAAAGAACATCAAGTGACTTCACCAGGTATTTCTGGATTATAACGCAAAATTTTGGGAAAAAATGCTTTTTTAGCAAGGGAGCTAGAATTTCTCAAAAAGTAATTTTCATCCAAAAATGACTTCGTAAACCCCAACCCGTGAACCCCAACGATTCTTTATTTGAGTATATGTATAAATTTGATAAATTGATAAATGATACAATAGACACTTTCGATTTGTTTATGAAGGAGCTCCATGTGCCAAGAATAACGGTAACTGCACATACCTATGTCTGACTACGTCTACTGGATACGTTTGCGCATGCCCTGATGGTGACGTTAATAGCACTGAACCATGCTCCTCAGGTATGAAATAAAATTTTGAAGAGCTCTTTCAAGATTTCTCTATGACCTGTTTTCCCTTTGCTTCACTTGCCAGTATCCCGTAACCCAATCATCGGTCCCCAACTTCAAATCGACAAATTCTATCAGTGTTAATTTAAGCCTCCCTTGTCCATGAATATTGCTTATACTTAGTATCCATATCATGGTTTCCTAACTCCTAATTGAAGTCATTGTTTATTGTTTTAGGTGTTGTGAAGCCACTTTCCCCTCCTGCTTGCTCTCTTGTTGCTTGTGGATATGGAACATGTCTTGAGGCCGATGGCAAGGCCATTTGCATGTAAGTATTTAAATGTATAATTTTTGGTATTTCTTTTTCTTTTAATGTCTATGTGCCCGGTTTAATATTCCTACAACTGGCACATTTTGCGCACTCTTGTGTTTTCTTTGCAAAAAAAAAAAAAAAAAATTCTGTCTATGCGGTAAATAAGAATTCTTTTTCTCATAGACAATACAATGTCGCATTTGCACATTGTCATATCAAGATGGCGGAAGTATTGTTACTAGTAAATTGGTTTAATAATTTCATTGTTTTTTTTCAGATGTCCTTCAGGATTTACAGGTCCATACTGCACTACACCTTTATCCAGCCCGTCGCCGTCGCCAAGATCTCATCCTTGTCTTACTTTATCATGTTATAACGGTGGAATCTGCAGTGTTAAGGATGGACGGCCGCACTGCCGGTGAGTTAGTTACGCGGAAATATTTCTAGGCCGATTAGGTTCGCATGCTTTGATTGGCCTTCACCCATCGAATAGAACTTCTTCCGGTAGATAGCGGAAGAAAAGCCCATGAAAACTTACATCTGTTTAGATATTGAATTCTTAGAAATAAAAGAGCAAAAACATAACGACATATAGTCAAGACACTTATTATTTCTTTTTG